CAAACAGAGATGGGGGACTTCTCACGAGGACCCCAACCTTGGGGTAACCACTGGCTACTGCCCTAACAGATTCGAACACATAGGTAGCGACCTACCGACCCCTACCCGCTTCATGACGCGTAGTTAGACAAGAAGCAAGGACAAACAGCTGAAAGCTGAATAACATGTGGGACAGGGGGGTTAGGATGGGGAAGTGTAAACAGAAAAGGGTGGACAGCCCACACTAGCCTTCAGCACTAAGGTGCAAGCGTAGTGAGACAAACGAGGGTGACCGCGGAGATGACCCTGGTTCACCTGTCCTTCCAAGGTATAGATATTCCTACATGAATGCATAATAAAAAGGACTTGTTCACATGTTTTACTGTTGAACCGCATTGCCTGTCTAGTGCAGACTGTTATGTTTATCGAGACAACCTCGAATACTATAACTTCCTGTTTAATTCACTAACAGCACTGTTGTCGATGTTACCGTTCAAACTGGAAATAAAACAATGATTGACAAAAAAAAAAAAAAAATAAAAAATAAAGTACACAGGGGCAGGATAAATCCAAAAATCCTGTATCAGTTGAGAATACCCTAGTGTTTGTGTTAGGCCTGATAACGCTATCGCTGCTTGTTTGAACCTATGTTTGTACTTCTGGAAGATCTACCTGTCAGATAGGTAATGCTTATTATCACTGTTCCTTATACGGATATACTTTTGTGTACCTGATTGTTACATGTTTTCCATTGTTCAAAAGACAAAATTACAAAATAAAGATTGTCCAAAAAAAAAAGAAAAACCTCCCGAACAGCCGGCCATCCAGCTACCATTCTTGGTTCGCTTGATTCCCCATCCGTTGGTAAGTCTTTCTACCGAACGCCCGGTCGTTCGGTAGTTTGGAAGGGGGTTTACCGAAGGTCTGGAGGCTTCAGCGGTGTTCGCCTGTTTGAGTGTCCGTTTTCAGTTCCAGACATTCAACGGCAAACACCGCTGTTCGGGAGCTAAAATGGCCGCGAACACGTGGAAGTCCCGGCGAGACCTGCCGTTCGTGCAGAACTTCTGTCGAACGTAATCCAGCCAGCAAGGGGGTACAGTCTGTATAATGGGTAACAGGGTGGTCTACATTTGGTAGTTTTACCTACCGAATGCCATAGGGAAACATTGCTATTAAACAAACAAATACAAGGAATCAATTTACAGTATAAGAGGGGCATTTCTTCACACTTTCCTATGGTTTTTCCTATTCGACTGTTTACAGCATTCGTATGTTTGAGAGCATTCGTATGCTTCTCCGGTTTGGTGGATTGGTGTCTACAGTAGCTGTGCCTGTGTCTCTGGAAGGGAAGATCTACTAAACGGCTTTTAACCCCTTTTAAGTCTGGGGGTGCCGTTACAGGTAGTGGGGGGGATCAGTAAATGTTACTACTAGACAACTGGTAGTACCTCAGAAATACCGACAGGAACTCCTTAGGATTGACATTCCGTTGTCTGGGCATCTGGGTATGACCCGAACTAGATACCGACTGACCCATGCATTCTTCTGGCCAGGTATATCTAAAGATGTTAGGCAGTACTTCCAGACGTGTGACATCTGTCAGAGAGTAGGCAAAAGGGGTGACGGACACAAGGCTAAATTATGCCCGCTACCCATTATAGAAGAGCCGTTTAGTAGGCTGGCTGTAGACATAGTAGGACCCTTACCCAAACCCAGTCCCTCCGGCAAGTAGTACATCTTGACCGTGGTTGATTACGCCACCAGGTACCCCCAAGGCAGTAGCTCTCTCTAATATTCACGCAGAGACGGTGGCAGAAGCCTTAATGAAAGTCTTTTCCAGGGGGGGTTTCCCACAGGAGAGATCAGATAGGGGTACGCAGTTCACAGCTGAAGTAACCCGGAAAATATGTGGCATTAAGCCTATTGTGAACTCTGCTTATGGGTTATGTGAAAGGTTCAACAGAACGTTAAAACAGATGCTCCGTACATTTGGAGAGACCCATAAGGACTGGGAGAGATTTTTACCGCATCTGCTTTTCGCCTACAGAGAGGTACCTCAAGAGTCCACCAGGTTTTTCCCCTATGTTTCTTGGGTGAGAAACATATTCAAAAATCACCCAGATCGGACCTGGGGTTTGGGAAATTCCTGGAGGTAATAAAAAGACCGACCGCGCTGGGGTTAACAACCGAAATGGGTTCCATACATTTTGGCCCTGTGGTCGGTCACAGAAAAAGGGAACAAAATGCCCGAACGGCTTGGGTTATTGAGACTGAGGAGGAATCGGATAAATCCCCTTGTTCGTGGGGTTCTTTCTACACAAAGGGACGGCAGTGTGCAAGTCTCAGCGGTGTTTGCCTAGCCGAGTGTCCGATTTGGGTTCTAGACACTCGACGGCAAAACACCGCTTTTCGGGAGTTTAAGATGGCTGCCGCCACGTGTTCGTCTCCCGAATGGCGGCCACCCAGAGGACAAAGCACACACTGCACTGATTACCAATTACCCGTTTGCAACATTGTTGCGAACGGTAATTGGAGGCACACTTATTCCTGGGGTGGTCTGATTGTTCGGTAGTTTCACTCGCATAATAACTGGAGTGATTTTAACGAACAATCACGCGAATGCTGCATACATACATATGGCAAAATTTAACTGAAAACATACGAATACACATAATTCTGAGGACAGCCCAATGACATCCGCTACAGGGACCGCAGCTTTCAAGTGGGACAAAAAGTTTTGATTTTACAACCTGTCCGCAATGACATGCTGCAGGCCACCTGGCAAGGCCCATACCAGGTGGTGGAGCAGAGATGAGATACCACTTATGTGATTGGCCCCTGCTCAGGGGTAGTGAAGAGACGCATGCTCCATGTGAATATGCTCAAACCCTACCATGAGAGGATAGAGGACGTGGCAGCTTTATGCGCATCAGCCTCTGAGGATCAGGAGAATCTTCCGCTACCCGATTTATTAGGAAAATTATGTGTCTATAAAAAAAGATTATTGGCACAAACAAATAACCAAAAATACTTTAATATATAAAAGAACACAATAATTTAAATTTCCATTAATTCCATTATTGTGTTCTTTTATATATTAAAGTATTTTTGGTTATTTGTTTGTGCCAATAATCTTTTTTATAGACACATAATTTTCCTTTTTTATTACCCTGGCCTTTTTAATTATTTTATTCCCTTTTTTACTGGTTTTAAAAAAAACCTTGAGAATTCCTGGAAGCCTCCTGTACTTAAAGAAATCCTAGGTGGGGATCAATCCACCCAAGCTGTCATCACGGAGCAGGAAATCTGCTCTTGCTTTGTAAGTACATTTTTTTATTATTTTATCCATATTGCTATACAGTGAGCACTATTGGCTGTTTCTTTTATTCCGAGAATTGGACACCTATCACAGAGAGGAACCCATTTAAATCCTACAAGCGGGGATCAAACCGCTGTATGCGCCTTAACCCAGAGCTAGGACAGTAGCTCTGGTAAATGTGAGTTCTATACTATTATTCTTTTATGTCCACACCAGAATTTTATATACTACACTATTGGTCGCCCTTCTCTCTCCTCTTTTCTCTTTCATATAAGTGGAACCGCTACATTAAGAGAAGACGTCATTAGCAAAGACCATTTGTAAGGATAAAACATTGGGACTTTTCTTTTCCTTTACATTGGACTTCATTTTTACTTGTGTGCGCAGCCTTTTTTTTATTATTTTCATCTATCCAGTTTTAAAGGGTCTGAGGGATCCCCTTTTAAGGTTGCTGCCTATAAGTTATCTAGCGCTGTCTCATTTCCATTTTTTTTGTTAAGAGAACTCCACGGGTGTTCAGCTGGGGGAGTGGCTAAGTCCTCAGGATCGTGCCCAGGTACAGGTTAATTGTGGCTAAGGGTGCCACTTTCTCCAATTTAACAGGGTACACTCCGCTACTACCGCAGGGTACTACTGGAAGTTTGTACCCAATTACAGCACCCTGGCCAAACCCCTTACTGACTTGACACGCAAAAATCTTCCTTGACAGGTCATCTGGGCCCCAGTGTGTGATCAGGCATTTCAACAACTCAAAACTGCTTTGACTAATGCACCTGTACTTGCTACTCCTGATCCAACTAAACGATTTCTTGTTCACACAGACGCTTCAATGTTTGGATTGTGAGCAGTGCTGAGCCAAGTTGGAGCAAATGGTGGAGAACATCTTACTTAATCAGAAAGTTATTACCACGAGAAGTAAGCTACGCCGCCATTGAGAAAGAATGCCTGGCCGTGGTGTGGGCCCTCAAAAAGTTACAGCCTTATTTGTAGGGACAACCTTTCTCCTTACTCACAGATCACAACCCGTTAGTGTGGCTGAACAGTGTGGCTGGGGACAATACCAGGCTGCTGCGCTGGAGTTTGGCGCTGCAGCCTTTTGACTTTACCATTCATTACTGCCCTAGGAAGCAAAATGGCAACGCCAACAGGTTATCCAGACAAACTGAACTTGAAAAGTGATCTGTGCGTACTCCTCCGGACATCCCCAAGCCGATCCGTTGGGATCAGACTATATATGCTGGCTTGGTTCTGGGGGAGCATTGTGGCAAACCTAGCCACTTCAGACTATTCCTTTATATATCTAATGGTTGTCCTAGAAAGACTGTTTAATCTATGTTGTTTTATGTGTTCGCTTAAAAAGGTGATAGAGGGCATTCGTATGCTAGTGGCGCAAAAGCCGCTAGCATTCATATGGTAGTTTCACAACCAGTGACTTTCAACACTGTTCGTGAAATGAACAAAGTACCGAATGGGAGACCACACACAGGAGGTCATGTGGCTCCCATTAACAGATTGCAACATTGTAGCGTTCCCAGTGAATTGATTCGCGGACTTCCAGACCGTTCGGGAACACCAGTCTTTCGCTCAAACTATGTATTCATGTCTTTTATGGAGAATTCATATAAAAATGTATTTCGTGTGGCGTTCGGCTAATTGTGCTGGGATCTGAGCGGTAATCTGAGTATGCGCTCAGATCCCAGCTATCTACCCATATGTCATTCGGTCCAATAGCACGAATAATGTGCCAGTTACGTATTTTTGAGTAAAAAGCCCGGTTCTGCTGTACGGAGGGATAATCCACTTAACAGGATATTCTGTGGGAGTATCCCTCTTGTACACAAGTGCATGGTGGGAAAAATGTCCTGTATGTTTAGTCCCCCATGTAGTCCCCTACTGTAATACCCCTGTAAAGTGATTAAGGAAACCCCTTGCATGGGGAACCAAATAAATACTGGAGCATGTGAATAAAATCGTCAGTTGACTCCCAGAACTGTGTTTCATCCGGTTACTGGGAGATTTGGGATATTGCCTTCATTTCAGCGCTTTTCTTGGATTACTTTCTTTTACCAGCGGAGATTTGGGGTTTTAATATTGCAGCTCCGCTACAACTTGGAAGCAGCGATTGACGGAGGTACCCGGTCGGGGTGCCAGGCGATCCGTCACACTCCATATTGCTGGCAAAGCATCAAAGGACATGTAGTCCACAACATCTGGAGTTCTGAACATTGCTTATGCCTGCAGCGGTTTTTATTAAAGCTTAAGTATAGACTAGTAATCAAACACAAATCCCAAACAGTACAGCTTTGACCTTAGCACTAGTTCTAGAATGGAAATGGAAGTCTCCCTGTGTACATACAGGTGGGTGCCATTCTCTCAGCAAGGTCCATTAGCCAGAACCTTCTCACTGGATTCACTGAGTGTTCCATTTTGCTTTACATTCAGTGGTTTGAGGAAAGGAAAGCATGACGTGTACATAACGCTAAGATGTAGCATTGTACTAACACAGGACAAGTTACTACCTTCTTTTCTATGAAATAGTTACCTCTTAAGTCAATAATGAGCCAAAACACACAAAACAGGTGGAAGATTATTTATTACAAAAACAGAGAGTACCAGAGTGTCTGAAGATTGAATTCTCCATAATTTATAAACAGGAGGGGGAGCTCTTCCAATATATATATATTATAAAACACTATCCCAGGCGGCGGGGAGGACTTCAGTGCTGGATTACGATTTTCATTGCTGTAAAACAAACACAAATAGAAAAGTAAGAACAGGAAAATGGTAAACATGGCTGCAGAGGAGATCCATGAAATCTGAAAGTTATTGTCAGTAAAGAATTCCTGGTGAAGTGTCTCAGAGAGGCAGGTGGGGGAATATTCGGCACTCACCTTTGCCTTGTTCTGTACAGGGAGGTACAGTTTGAACTCGGCAGGAAGCTCATCTTCTGAATAAAGGCGATCTGAGAAATAAACCCTCCGAATCCGACAGTTTGCATGAATCTGGAATAGAAGGAAACAAGGAAATCGTGTTTCCATTATCAAAACCCATCGATTATAGAAAAGTCCTACACCAAACAGGAAACCATCAGAGCAATCAATTAATATTCCAGACTAGAAAACGGGACGTGCACAATGTTTCTTAATGACAGAGGACCTCCTTACACCATAACCTTATAGCTGCAGTTATAATACGCTGTGTGTGTGGAGACAGGGGACCTCCTTACACCATAACCTTACAGCTGCAGTTCTAATACACTGTGTGCGGGGAGACAGGGGACCTCCTTACACCATAACCTTATAGCTGCAGTTATAATACACTGTGTGCGGGGAGACAGGGGACCTCCTTACACCATAACCTTATAGCTGCAGTTCTAATACACTGTGTGCGGGGAGACAGGGGACCTCCTTACACCATAACCTTATAGCTGCAGTTCTAATACACTGTGTGCGGGGAGACAGGGGACCTCCTTACACCATAACCTTATAGCTGCAGTTATAATACACTGTGTGCGGGGAGACAGGGGACCTCCTTACACCATAACCTTATAGCTGCAGTTATAATACACTGAGATGGATTATTACTGTGACGAGACCAATCTCGCCACATTGCATTGGAGAAGCCTATTTGCCAGCCTCCTTCCACATGACTATGGCCCCTGGGAGATTGTGAAAACATATGCACTTTTATTGGGTGTGTATGGCCCTTTAAGACAGCCAGTGGGCATATTGTGGCTTATGGACTCTTTATGGGACTGGTGCTGGCCCTTTATACACCTTTTTGGGACATCAGGAAGATTGGGACACTGCCCTTTAAGACGGTGTCCCCAGACTTGTTTGGGACACTGCCCCTTTAAGACGGGGACCCCTGTGTCCCTAGACCTGGTTAAAACTCTTTGTGCCTGGCTATTTCCCACTTGGTTCAGTAAATGGGGCTTACTGAACCAAGTAACAGGCAGACCACCCAGAAGTGGAAGTGTGCAGGCAATTTACCTCCCAGAAGCTGCAGTTAACCGCAGCTTAATTGACAACGCTGGGTGGCCTTTATTCGTTTGCCGAACACGTGGCGGCGGCTATCTTTGTTAATGCGAACAAGGTCAGCGGTATGTGTAGCCAAATTCATGGAACTAAAATCGGCTACACATTTCCGCGAACACAGCTGAGCCCTACCTTCAGCTATGGGACTTAGTCGTTTTTTCAGCCTGAAATAGACCGGCCGCACAGCCCAAATCTATGGAACTGTTTTGGGCAGGAAAATGTGCTTGCGGTCGGTCATAAAGGGACCTCCAGCTAACTTTTTAACCCCTGGATGGATTCGGCTGATTTTTGGTTATGTTTATATTTAAAGTGTGCTGCTTAATAATATGTAAGTTTTATTAATATTGGATGTATAGTTTTAAAGTTACAGTGTATGGATAAAAACTGTATTTTTACTGCCTGTGTTAATTATGTTAAACCATTGTGTGCCATAATTATATTACAGGCAGAGGGGAGGATTTTTGTGTGTAATTGCTGGGAGTGTTTCTGTAATGTACGTTTATGATTGGTTGTTGTGTAAAACCCTGTGGGTGGTACTAATGTGTAAGAATGTGTACAATAAACCCACAGCTCTGTCTGTTCACTGCTTGACCCTCAACACGGAGCTTTGTCTCGTTCTTGGGGGGATTTATTGTATGCTGTTCCGGTTCGACTGCTAGGAGTGTAAACCTATTCGGATGGTTTTTCCTATTCGGCTGTTTACAGCATTCATATGGTTTCCTGTTCGGCTGATTGGTGTTCTGCAGTAGCTGTGCCTGTGTCTCTGGAAGGGAAGATCTACTAAACGGCATTTTAACCCTTTTATGCTCGGGGTGCCGTTACAATTACGTTTTATGTCTGGTATAAATCCCATGGAAATATTTTACTGGTGATCCGATTTAACTGGTGATCGGATCCATATCTCCCTGGGTTTGCACCCTCTCTATATGTGCTGCCTTGTAACACAGTATTAGAAATATTGAGAGTGTTTCCTAGAAAACCAGGTTAATGAGGAGACAGTCTGTTAACAAGAGACATTCTGTTGGCTACAGTAAAGAAAGCACTCCCACCTGGACACGTAATGTCTCAATGTAGTTTGTCCCGTACGCTCTGCGTGTAAAGTCAGAGAGGTTGAACTGAATCTGATTCCAACCATCATCCAAACGCATTGGCATGGTACAAATAAATGGCTTCACGCGAGTTGTACTTTGATAATTACTGGCTCGGAAACGCCGTCGCACATTCTTATCATCCAGGACCTAATAGGGGAGCAATATAATCAATTAGAACCCAGGAATAAGGAATGCTCCTCGGCTGCTCTCTGACACGGATATAAAACTTTAACCAGCAAACAATGGAAGAATGGAATTCTCACCTGTACTTCAAAGGTGAAATATTTCTTCAGGTTCTTAATTATCATGACCAGAAAGGGCAGCTTGATTCCTAGAGTCTTCTTGGGATCTGCCGGACATGTTATGTATGTAGTGCTAATAGACACAAAGAGGAGAGGAGATAAAGCATGTTGGGATGACCAATTCCTACAAATGCTTTAGTGAAGCCTTAAAATCTCATCCTCTACAAGCTATCAGGTATTTTGCTGTCTCCGTCTACAGTGCTCCCTCCTCCCAAACACCCGTCCCTTCCTTCAGGTTCATACAGATCCCTCCCTCACTTCCCTCTGGATTTGTCCTTAATCCCTTTAGATTGTGAACTCAGTTGGGCAGGGCCCTCTTCACATACTGAATCAATGTCAAAACATGTTAGAATAATTTGTCTTATTTACCTTATGTACAGTGCTGCAGAATACGTTTGCGCTATATAAATAATCCAAATAGTAGAGCAGTTCAGGATCTTCTGATTGTAGGCAGATCAATGCATGTCTATTAAAGATTTATTTTTATCCTCTACTCTGTTAACATTTTAACAACTCCAAAGTAAATTTAAACTTATCACTTTTGACGCCCCTGCACATGCGAGTTTGGTTCAAAAAGGATTAGTGATTATTTTGGGATCTCCGACCAGGATCTGAGTTCTAGAAAATTTAGAAAGGGTTTACATGTCGGATCCTGGACGAAAACAAACCATCTCAAGGTTTTTTGGCAGTTGAAGTTGCTATACATGACAAATTGGGAGAGTGATCTGGGTGAGGTACTCACAGTAGAAGACTGGTATATTGAAGGGTATCACGCATTGTACAAGTCAAATGGAAAATGAATTGATCGATGGTACTTTTCTCCATTTAAAATGTTTACATTACATCTTTCTATAACTAATTTATGTTGGAGAGGTTGCGGTCAGACAGGTAAACTTTATCGCATTTTTTGTTCCAGTCCGAAATTATTAAACTATTGGCATAAAATCTTTGAATTAATCCTATCCATCACAGAGTTTCCAATGGATTTAACCCCTGGTTTGTGCTTACTTCATCGTTTCCCAGATAACTTAGCAACACACAAAAGAATAATGTTAGGCATCTACTTATCTCAGCTACAACAGTCATTCCAGGATATTGGAAATCTAATTCTACTCCCTCTGTCAAAGATATTTTATTGTTATTATTGAGAATAAACATTGTGAATTCACTCTCCGTATATACCATCAGCTACTAATGTACTCGTCAGACAAGACTGGTCTGAATGGGAGGAAGAAATGAGGAGTAAGTACAAGCTTGATAATGTTTCCACCTGACCGAAAATAATCTAAGCATCGATACTGGACTCATTACTGTAGGACACTTACACATGAAATACATAAATCATTTTCATTTTTCGTCATGTATAATTTTTTATCAAAGTTAATTATTTTATGTTATAACGTGGATGCGAAATTTATTCATTTTATTATTCTCACAACAAGATATTTCTTACTATGTCAATAATATACCTATGGTAGAATATATATATATACACACATACACACATACATACATACATACATACACACACATACATTATTGATGGTCGAAATGTTTAAAAAAATGTTTTAAAAAAAATAAAAAGACAGTACTATTTCTTCTTCTTCTTATTTTAATAATAAAAAAACATTTGAAAAGATTAATGCATGTCTCAGTCAGTAAGAGATTTATTTCATGTGATCCTGGCAGCCATTCTAAATGTCCACTCCGTTGGGGGGTGTGGCCGGAACTCGAGTCGGATGGATAGCAGTGAAGCTCCATACCTCAAGGCTCTTAAATGGCTAAGTACAATGTAAGCAGGCAAATTTTAACCCTCACAACGATCAGACAAGATATGTTGTAACACCGAGCACGAGAAAAACCCGAATCCCGGGACAAAAATCACCTTCTTTGCATTGAGAGCACAAACGGCAAAACCCTCTCCATCACCGACCCAAAATGGCAGCGAGGACACGGAGGGTGAAGGCCTACCACAGCCTGAACCGGCTCCATTCGCGAAAGACGTCATGGCTGATAGGCTACAAAACACAATGAAGGAGGCAATGGCCGTAATTATAAAAAAATAAAAATAAAAAAAAAAGACCTTCACGATCTGGGCTCTAGAACATCACACATAGAGCACAAGATGGAGGTGTAGCGGAGCGGCAATATTAAATCCCACGATCTCCGCTGGTTAAGAAAGTAATCCAAAGTAAAGCGCTGGAAAGTAAGGCAATATCCCAAATCCCCCAGTAACCGGACGAAACACAGTTCTGGGAGTCAACTGAGGTCTCTTGCACTGCTGCACGAGAGGGATACTCACACTGGAATATACCGTTAAGTGGATTATCCCTCCGTGCAGCAGAACCGACAATTCACTTTTAAATACATAACTTTTGCAATACTTAGTCTATTTAAACCATGGGTCGTCAACCTGGTCCCTACCGCCCACTAGTGGGCGTTTTAGGATTCCAGGTGGGCGGTAGGGATTTCTGAGGCTAAATCCTCTTTTTAAGAGGATTTCTCCTTTTGGGCGGGCGCGAGCGGCTCTGCATGCGCAAGTCTTCAGTGACCGGCAGGAGGAAGCGCTCCCTCCTGCCAGGCCACCTTCTGGACCCCCGGCATGGCAGCGTTCTAATCAGTCGCGGCGAGGGAGCTCTAACCTCTCTGCTCTGCTCCCTCGCGCGATGTTTGCTGATGCCGCGGGAGCCGGAATATGATGTCATATTCCGGCTCCCGGCATCCGTAGACAGTCCGCGAGGGAGCAGAGCAGAGAGGTTAGAGCTCCCTCGCTGCGTCTGATTAGCCGCCCGCCTAAGTGAAGCCCCACTGGACCCCAGGGACAGATCCACACCAGCTCTCCAGGTAGGGAGGCTGGGTGGATATTTAATATTAATAATTTGTGTGTACATGTGTTTGTCTCTAAGTGTATGTGTGTGTGTCTCTAAGTGTATGTGTGTGTGTCTGTAAGTGTATGTGTGTGTGTCTGTAAGTGTATGTGTGTGTCTGTGTCTGTAAGTGTATGTGTGTGTCTGTGTCTGTAAGTGTATGTGTCTGTCTGTAAGTGTATGTGTCTGTCTGTAAGTGTATGTGTCTGTCTGTAAGTGTATGTGTCTGTCTGTAAGTGTATGTGTGTGTGTCAGTAAGTGTGTGTGTGTCTGTGGGTCTGTCTGTGCATGTGTGAGTGTCTGTAAGTGCATGTGTGAGTATGTGTATATTTGTGTGTATGTGTTTCAATGTGAGTGTGTGTGTGTGTGTGTATGTGTTTGCCTGTGAGCAGAGTACTTGTAGAATAGAAGAAAGAAGGTGCAGAGTACTTGTAGAATAGAAGAAAGAAGGTGCAGAGTACTTGTAGAATAGGAGAAAGAAGGAGTAGAGTACTTCTAGTATAGGGGAAAGAAGGAGTAGAGTACTTCTAGTATAGGGGAAAGAAGGAGTAGAGTACTTCTAGTATAGGGGAAAGAAGGAGTAGAGTACTTCTAGTATAGAGGAAAGAAGGAGTAGAGTACTTGTAAAAAAGGAGAAGGAAAGAAAAGGAAAAGGAGAGAATTGTTGTTGACTAATAATAGTAAGTGGGCTACCTAGCTCAGCCTTCCTACTGGGCATTGCTATAAGGAAGGTTAAAAAATAGAAAAAAGGGGAAAAAGGTGGGAAGGGGAATTGAGGAGGGAGAGGAGGGGAGCTGACGCACAGATGAGAAATCATTTTATGAGCAAACAAAGAAGTCTTCCGATTATCACTGAAAGAGGAGACCTTCGTTTGTTCCTTATGAAAATCGAACCAGATATCAAATATTTAGTCTCGCAGCATCAACCTCAAGGATCTCATTAATCACTAGTAAAGGTAAGTTCAATTTACTTTATTGCTTTCTCATTAAACTTTATAAAGTTAAAAACATTATAAACATGCATAAAGTAGAAATAAAAAGATAAATGTACGTTCATTTATGTATTTTTTAAAACACCCTCCTTTCTAAAAAATATTCCGCGCTTGCGCGAAAACTGGTGGGCGGTAAGGAAATTTTTCCATCAAGAAAGATGCATTAGTGGGCGGTAAGTGGAAAAAGGTTGACTACCACTGATTTAAACGAATGGACGTTCGGTAGATAGCTGGGGTCGGAGTGCACAGTTCATGAGAATACCGCTCAGATCCCAGCTAAAACAACCGAACGCCGCATGAAATACACTTTGCCATTGAGTTCGCCCCAAAGTACCGAACACCGATGGGGAACCCTAATGGCGAAAGACCGGAGTCCAGCGGTGTTCGCGCCGTCGAGTAGCCGTTTTCAGTTCCATGCGCCCGACGACCAAACACCGCTGGGGAGACAAAGGATCCAAGATGGCCGACCGCCGTGTGGTCGGTAGCCAAACGGCGACCACCTAGGAGAGCCTCTAATTACCGATTGCAACATTGTTGCAATCGGTTAACGAGCGCCACACGTCCCTCTCTGTGTGGGCTATTAGGGGCTAGCTCATTTGGTTCATGAACAGCCTGTAAAGTGGCTGTTCATGAAACGAAACACATGAATGCTAGCGGCTTTCGGCTGCTAGCAGACGAATGCAATATTCACATACAATAATACACAGGGTACAGCCAGGGAATGCAAGAAGTTATGAGAATAATACATGCAACCTTTTTCTACATATAGTCCATGTTATCACAAGTGGCTAGGTTTGCCACAGGAGGACTTCACAATAGCGCACAACAACGATCTCGACAACCATGTAAGAGCAACTTCAGCAACAACTGGCACGCTATGAAACTAAGCAAATGGATCTGGAGAAGAGGTCCGACGGCGCAAAAAACTCTTACGAGGGATCTCTGAGGATGTGACAAACCAAGGCCTAGCTGCCTATCTAACAGGTTTATTCCACACATTGCTCCCTGAGCTGCCAGTAGCAATGCTCCTGATGGACAGAGCACACCGCGTGGCACGACCGCAACATCTGCCACCCAGCACGGCCAGGCTTGTGTGAAAATGCATTATTTCCATATAAAGGAAGACATACTGAAATCACACAGACTATGCAAGAATCTACCGGACAATTTCAGACATCCAGCTATACATGGATTTATCTGCAGAGACCCAGAGACGCCGCAGACACTCCTGGGAGGTCACGGAGACTCTAAGAAAACAACAAATACCATATAGATGGGGATTCCCCACTAAACTCCTTATTATGAGAGAGGGCAAAGCCATTCCAGCAGCATCGGCCAAAAATGGTCTTCATCTGCTCTGACAATGGGGATATCACGTGGACTCAAACCCGAAACCTCCTAAGAGACCCTATACTCCAGACGGAATGGAAGACGACCGGTAGAAGGCCCCCTTCAAGGAGGGCGCAACACGCAAACACGCCAGCGGACACTTGAGTATTAGCCTCATGCTAGTGGCACACAGGCCCCGAGTTATAGATGGGGGAAACCCTAGCTACACTGCAAAGTTTGAGGTGTTTAATTTTCAGTTTTAATGCTTAACACTACTGTTTATCAAGGTGCTAACTGAAGGGGGAGGGAAGGCGGTACAGGACGATGGTCCATAGTCCCTAGTGCATGCCTATGTGAGTACTGTTGAGAAATGTATCTAATAGGTCTGATCATTCTCCACCCTAAGTAACGTATCGGGGGAATGATTAGGGTAGGGGAATTACCCCCCAGATTTATATGGCTGTGCCCAAGTAATTACCCGACTTCGCCCGCAACAAAAGCAGTGTGATGAAGGGTGGACCATATGGCCTCCAGGGAGGATGGTGCACTGTCATCTTACGCAAATGGTCCAGGGTGTTGTACTGTGCTGCACAGACTATACCACTGTAGCACTATGCCAGGTTCAGCATATTGTGAGCTGTATTAGTGGTGATACGAAACTTAACAGTACTTAAATCCACCCTACACAACCCACGCTGAGAACAATGCACCAGCGAAAGACAGGACGTGTGCCTTTAATAGGTATCGAACACTCCCTGTTTACATGTTGCAACTACAAAAAAACAATAGTAATATTAGCTATCCAATTGTTAGAACTATATTTCACCAAAGCCGCACGCATGTACACCCTGAAGTATCCTGTCGGCTGAGCACCCTCGCCTGCTTTTAAGTAACTTACAGCCAAGAGCCCAAAGGGCGGAGCGGATCAGACTAGACCGCTGTTAGCCCATCGGGCTCGACCAATCCTGTGTACCCCAAATTCGGTCAGGTACCATTGTTAATTTTCAACAAAAGTATGTTCATATGTTTTATTTGTTTATTATGTTCTACCATTGTATATACCCTGTATTCCACAATACACCCGCCAGAGCGAACTATATAGTCAGAACTGCACCGAGCTCCTATCACGAGCCAGGTAATCTTGAATGCCCTTTCCCATTACAATACCGTAAGAATATAAGTACCAGAATATGCACGACACCTGATGCACCACAGCATATCAGCATTAACACATTTTAAAAAATGTATTCCCATAACGTACGGGGCTTGAATACCCCATTTAAACGTCAGGTATTACTGAAGTATCTTAAGAAAATACAAGCAGACATGTGACTACAGAAAACCCATTTTAGGAAAGGGACGAATCCCAAGATTAGCCTCTCTGCATTCCCTCACCAATTCAATGCCACCTCCATGTGGAAAAGCAAAGGCGTCTCTATACCCCTCCGTGGCCATCTGGCTGTCGATCATATAACCCAAATCGCGGATATATATCCCCCGAACACAAATCATTGAATTTTCTTACAGTGTATTGACAAAATTTGACTGGTTTAAAATGGGTACCACTATAATCTGTGGCAACTTTAACCACATATACGATCCAAAGTTAGACTCCACTGCCAGATACAAACAACGGCTAACCAGTTATATGAAGTATGGCGCACCCTACACCCCACTGAGAGGGAATACACCCACGACTTTGCAGTCCATAACTCATATTCAAGGATTGACGGGTACCTAATTAACTCCTCACATATACATCTGGTCCAGAAATGCGAAATTCTGCCCACGACATGGTCCGAACACAATCTTGTCACAATGACATTATTTGACCAATACAAATATAAGCATAAAAGCCCATGGCGCCTAGACGAACCTTACCTTAATACCCTTTGTGGCGAATCCGACCTCGCCACTGGGCATTGGAGAAGACTGATTGGCAGCCTCCTGCCATGTGACTAAGGCCCCTGGGATGTATTGCCCTTTAAAGACATTATTTGGGCTTATTGGATTTTGAAACACTTTTTCTGCCCCTTTGAATACATGAGAAGGTATGCCTCTCCCCCATTTCCTGTCTATTGTTCTCCAGCAGGGCGTTGTTCCAAGGACACTGCCAGACCAGTTGGAACTTGTTGCTATGGTGGTTTAACCCCATGGCGATTTGACTGTGTTTGTGGCATCTGAGCGGTGTTCGGATATAGTGAGCACTCAGATCCAAGCTATCTGGGGATAGGTTGAATTTGGGGGTTCTGTTAAGTATAATAGGAATTATGTATTTTTATGTGTTTTTACTGTTATTGTGAATAGAGCCATTATCTGTATGCTGGAGGTAATTGGCTTACCACACCCAAGCCATGCTTGCAGGCGGTCACAAAACCAACTAACTTTTGACCCACTGGACCAATTTGTATAATTTTGACGTATGTTTGTATTTGGAGTGTGCGGATTCTGAAAATGTAATTTTTATGTGAATGTGATGTATACTTTTAGAGTTATGAATATTGTGTAAAACTGTGTATTTTCCTGCCTGTGATAATTACATTAGACCAGGCATAGGCAACCTTAGGCACTGCAGATGTTTTGGACTTCACCTCCCATGTTCCTTTACAAGCACTATGAGTCTAAGAGTATTATGGGGGATGTAGTCCACAACATCTAGAGTGCCGAAGGTTGGCTATCCCTGCATTAGACCATTGTGTTCAGTAATTATATCACAGGCAGAGGGGAGGATTTTGTGTTGGAGTTTCTGAGTGTTTTGTACGTATTGATTGGTTGTTCTGCAAAACCCTGTGGGCAGTACTATGTGTGTAAAATGTGCATAAAAGCAGAGTGTTTGATTAAAAGCTTCAGTTCTACTTCACCCTCAATTTGGAGTGCCGTCTCTTACTGGGGGTTTCTGCTACAAGGGATTGCTATGCTCTGCATACTCCCTTGCTATATTTACTGTTAAGCTCTTGTAAGATCTTGTTTCTGCCTTGCTCTCTGGAGAAGTCTACAGTGGTTATGGTGTCTGCTGCAGTGCTTGGAGTCCTCAGGAAGCGCTAGGAGCATCCTTCAACAGGGGTACCCAGTTGGGGTGCCAGGTGATCCGTTACACCCTTAAAGAGGAATTGATTAAATTCTTCAATACAAATGACACTGCAGACGTACAAGCGAATACACAAGACGATCAATCGGGGCGCTCTTATAAAACGAGCCTCCTTCCTGAAGAAAAAGCACGATACCATCAGTAGGAAATACTATATTGACCTGCAGGTCCTCCACAGACAAGACCAACTGAACCCCTCCCCAGAAGTCGCAACACAGATACAAACTCTACAGTCATGGTTTAACAATACTAACATACTGTGATGAAAGCAACTTCGCCACTGGTTTTTGGAGGGGACTACTTGCCAACCTTTTACCCTGTGACAATGGCCCCTGCAACAGAACTGGTAAATATACTTCAAACAGGCTCTGTTCGTGCAATTGGGACACCAGAGCAATGGCAGTCAGCATATACAACACATAAAGCACTTTCCTTCTGTGCAACAAATCTAGAAATAACGAGGAAGCTGTTATATCGGTGGTACCTTGGCAACCTTATATCCCAATGTGAGTAATGTATGTTGGAGATGCAATTCAGACGTAGGCACTATGCTACATATATGGTGGACCTGCCCCACATTACAAAACTATTGGCAGGACGTAGGTGACATGATTACCCAATGCACACAGCATCAGATGCCACCAGACCCCCGCACATTCCTACTGTATATCTTCCCCTAGGGTCTGCCAAAAGTTGCAGTATCTTATACTCACCGCTGCTGCACCATTACTGGCTAGGAAATGGAAAACATTCACCGTACCAACAATGACAGAGCTTAAACAACAAATCTCTACAACTGTATCCTATGAATTAATGGCATTCACCCAAATGCAAAAAGGTGTAGCAACAAAAGAAATTGCAGAACTGTGGCGGCATTACAATTCAGAAAACGCTAAATGAACAATTGTAGGTCTGGAACAGGCCAGGACAGTATTTTCTCTATCCCCCATGAACCCCTTCCCCTAAAACACATTCCTGGTTCAACCCCTTCCACTACCTCCCATGCCCTACCTTCCCATGGTTATACACCCTGTAACAAATAAGATAACGGAACAATTGACAACATCATTGTAGATGAGGCACAGGGTCCAGCAACACAGGGGCTATCACACAGTATCCGAAAGAAGAGAAATGAGTGAGTTAGCAGGCCCGACAAAGGGTGTTCTGAACAACCAGTCATAGAAAACACAACCTTTACCAACAAACATGTGATAGTAACTAAAGGTCTACTGAAAATCCAAACACGCAAGTCAAACGAACAGGAGGAACAGACAACTTGAGTGAAGTTACAAGACATTATCAGCGGTTATTGGAATCTTTCTGTACACTTACCAACACACTGTAGCGACCTGTGCAACCAAGTATAGATGTGCACACCTATGGTGTCCATGTCTAAATATGCGATCAGTTTTTCTTTACAAGCAATAACAATCAAGTACGGACATAGTACATGTTGTTCGTTCCAGACTGCAAGGGTCATTGATGTACAATTAGATTTTCCTCCCCTCTAACCATCCCCTTTCTTTTTTCTTTCCAAAACACTTGAAAAGTCAATTAAAATTGTCCAATTTAAAAAAAACAGACCTCAAAACATGTCAGATCCTCGTTCTTACCTTACATTGGTTCCTTCCACTTCCAGGACTAAAGACTGGATGTCATTATCTGTTATCCGTTTTATATGCCCATTTCGGACCTAAAGAAAAAGACAAGTGTGAGTGAGGCAATGTGTAGCAATCAATCTTCCTCCAGAACACGGGAACGAAACATGTAATAGACAGCAGGACACGGATTCTGATCGACACGTAAATGCAGGGACACAGTGACCAGTGCAAATGGAAACACAGATATTGAGACAAACAGAGACAGACAGACACACACACACACTCTCTCCATTTGTTACACAAACATGGATATACAAACAGGACTATATACACAGTGTGCCAGGGCTGGAGGACGTACTGCCCGTACTCTACATACCCAGTGTGCCAGGGCTGGAGGACGTACTGCCCGTACTCTACATACCCAGTGGGCCAGGGCTGGAGGACGTACTGCCCGTACTCTACATACCCAGTGTGCCAAGGCTGGGGGACGTACTGCCCGTACTCTACATACACAGTGTGCCAGGGCTGGGGGACGTACTGCCCGTATTCTACATACACAGTGTGCCAGGGCTGGGGGACGTACTGCCCGTACTCTACATACAGTGTGCCAAGGCTGGGGGACGTACTGCCCGTACTCTACATACACAGTGTGCCAAGGCTGGGGGACGTACTGCCCGTACTCTACATACACAGTGTGCCAGGGCTGGGGGACGTACTGCCCGTACTCTACATACACAGTGTGCCAGGGCTGGGGGACGTACTGCCCGTACTCTACATACACAGTGTGCCAGGGCTGGGGGACGTACTGCCCGTACTCTACATACACAGTGTGCCAGGGCTGGGGGACGTACTGCCCGTATTCTACATACACAGTGTGCCAGGGCTGGGGGACGTACTGCCCGTACTCTACATACACAGTGTGCCAAGGCTGGGGGACGTACTGCCCGTACTCTACATACACAGTGTGCCAGGGCTGGGGGACGTACTGCCCGTACTCTACATACACAGTGTGCCAGGGCTGGGGGACGTACTGCCCGTACTCTACATACCCAGTGTGCCAGGGCTGGGGGACGTACTGCCCGTACTCTACATACACAGTGTGCCAAGGCTGGGGGACGTACTGCCCGTACTCTACATACACAGTGTGCCAGGGCTGGGGGACGTACTGCCCGTATTCTACATACACAGTGTGCCAGGGCTGGGGGACGTACTGCCCGTACTCTACATACACAGTGTGCCAAGGCTGGGAGACGTACTGCCCGTACTCTACATACACAGTGTGCCAGGGCTGGGGGACGTACTGCCCGTATTCTACATACACAGTGTGCCAGGGCTGGGGACGTACTCTATTTACAGGTACCTTTTTATCCCAGATTTGGAGGGGCTTGCTGCCGATACTGTAGAGGATGGAGAGAAACCCGGACTGAAAAGTGTTTTTGAACATGGTAGCGAATATCTGGGAACCTGCATAGAAAAGATAATATATAGTGTCACATTTAAGAATTAACAATAGTAACAGCCATCAATCTGTCCTAAGGACCTAGTACTCTAGTACTGCCAAACACCAAGAGACAGCAGGAGCAGTGTTTACCTGGCTCTGTATCTGGGGTGCAGTCAGTCAGTATGGGGGTCCCAGCAGGAGTAGTGTTTACCTGGCTCTGTATCTGGGGTGCAGTCAGTCAGTATGGGGGTCCCAGCAGGAGTAGTGTTTACCTGGCTCTGTATCTGGGGTGCAGTCAGTCAGTATGGGGGTCCCAGCAGGAGTAGTGTTTACCTGGCTCTGTATCTGGGGTGCAGTCAGTATGGGGGTCCCAGCAGGAGTAGTGTTTACCTGGCTCTGTATCTGGGTGCAGTCAATCAGTATGGGGGTCCCAGCAGGAGTAGTGTTTACCTGGCTCTGTATCTGGGTGCAGTCAGTCAGTATGGGGGTCCCAGCAGGAGTAGTGTTTACCTGGCTCTGTATCTGGGGTGCAGTCAGTCAGTATGGGGTCCCAGCAGGAGTAGTGTTTACCTGGCTCTGTATCTGGGGTGCAGTCAGTATGGGGGTCCCAGCAGGAGTAGTGTTTACCTGGCTCTGTATCTGGGGTGCAGTCAGTCAGTATGGGGGTCCCAGCAGGAGTAGTGTTTACCTGGCTCTGTATCTGGGTGCAGTCAGTCAGTATGGGGGTCCCAGCAGGAGTAGTGTTTACCTGGCTCTGTATCTGGGGTGCAGTCAGTCAGTATGGGGGTCCCAGCAGGAGTAGTGTTTACCTGGCTCTGTATCTGGGGTGCAGTCAGTCAGTATGGGGGTCCCAGCAGGAGTAGTGTTTACCTGGCTCTGTATCTGGGGTGCAGTCAGTCAGTATGGGGGTCCCAGCAGGAGTAGTGTTTACCTGGCTCTGTATCTGGGGTGCAGTCAGTCAGTATGGGGGTCCCAGCAGGAGTAGTGTTTACCTGGCTCTGTATCTGGGGTGCAGTCAGTCAGTTGGGGGTCCCAGCAGGAGTAGTGTTTACCTGGCTCTGTATCTGGGTGCAGTCAGTCAGTATGGGGGTCCCAGCAGGAGTAGTGTTTACCTGGCTCTGTATCTGGGGTGCAGTCAGTCAGTATGGGGGTCCCAGCAGGAGTAGTGTTTACCTGGTTCTGTATCTGGGGTGCAGTCAGTCAGTATGGGGGTCTCAGCAGGAGTAGTGTTTACCTGGCTCTGTCTCTGGGGTGCAGTCAGTCAGTATGGGGGTCCCAGCAGGAGTAATGTTTACCTAGCTCTGTATCTGGGGTGCAGTAAGTATGGGGGTACCAGCAGGAGTAGTGTTTACCTGGCTCTGTATCTGGGGTGCAGTCAGTCAGTATGGGGGTCCCAGCAGGAGTAGTGTTTACCTGGCTCTGTATCTGGGGTGCAGTCAGTCAGTATGGGGGTCCCAGCAGGAGTAGTGTTTACCTGGCTCTGTATCTGGGGTGCAGTCAGTCAGTATGGGGGTCCCAGCAGGAGTAGTGTTTACCTGGCTCTGTATCTGGGGTGCAGTCAGTCAGTATGGGGGTCCCAGCAGGAGTAGTGTTTACCTGGCTCTGTATCTGGGGTGTCAGTCAGTATGGGGGTCCCAGCAGGAGTGTGTTTACCTGGCTCAGTATCTGGGGTGCAGTCAGTCAGTATGGGGGTCCAGCAGGAGTAGTGTTTACCTGGCTCTGTCTTTGGGTGCAGTCAGTCAGTATGGGGGTCTCAGCAGGAGTAGTGTTTGCCTGGCTCTGTATCTGGGTGCAGTCAGTCAGTATGGGTCCCAGCAGGAGTAGTGTTTACCTGGTCTGTATCTGGGTGCAGTCAGTCAGTATGGGGTCCCAGCAGGGTAGTGTTTACCTGGCTCTGTATCTGGGTGCAGTCAGTCAGATGGGGGTAGTGTTTACCTGGCTCTGTATCTGGGGTGCAGTCAGTCAGTATGGGGGGTCCCAGCAGGAGTAGTGTTTACCTGGCTCTGTATCTGGGTGCAGTCAGTCAGTATGGGGGTCCCAGCAGGAGTAGTGTTTACCTGGCTCTGTATCTAGGTGCAGTCAAGTCAGTATGGGGGTCCCAGCAGGAGTAGTGTTTACCTGGCTCTGTATCTAGGTGCAGTCAGTATGGGGGTCCCAGCAGGAGTAGTGTTTACTGGCTCTGTATCTGGGTGCAGTCAGTCAGTATGGGGGGTCCCAGCAGGAGTAGTGTTTACCTGGCTCTGTATCTGGGTGCAGTCAGTCAGTATGGGGGGTCCCAGCAGGAGTAGTGTTTACCTGGCTCTGTATCTGGGGTGCAGTCAGTCAGTATGGGGGTCCCAGCAGGAGTAGTGTTTACCTGGCTCTGTATCTGGGGTGCAGTCAGTCAGTATGGGGGTCCCAGCAGGAGTAGTGTTTACCTGGCTCTGTATCTGGGGTGCAGTCGGTCAGTATGGGGGTCCCAGCAGGAGTAGTGTTTACCTGGCTCTGTATCTGGGTGCAGTCAGTCAGTATGGGGGTCCCAGCAGGGTAGTGTTTACCTGGCTCTGTATCTGGGGTGCAGTCAGTATGGGGGTCCCAGCAGGAGTAGTGTTACCTGGCTGGCTCAGTGTATCTGGTGCAGTCAGTCAGTATGGGGTCAGCAGGAGTAGTGTTTACCTGGCTCTGTATCTAGGTGCAGTCAGGGAGTCAGTAGTGTTACCTGGCTCTGTATCTGAGTGCAGTCAGCGTATGGGGTCCCCTCAGGAGTAGTGTTTACCTGGCTCTGTATCTGGGTGCAGCAGTCAGTATGGGGGTCCCAGCAGGAGTAGTGTTTACCTGGCTCTGTATCTGGGGTGCAGTCAGTCAGTATGGGGGTCCCAGCAGGAGTAGTGTTTACCTGGCTCTGTATCTGGGGTGCAGTCAGTCAGTATGGGGGGTCCCAGCAGGAGTAGTGTTTACCTGGCTCTGTATCTGGGGTGCAGTCAGTCAGTATGGGGTGTCCCAGCAGGAGTAGTGTTTACCTGGCTCTGTATCTGGGTGCAGTCAGTATGGGGGGTCCCAGCAGGAGTAGTGTTTACCTGGCTCTGTATCTGGGGTGCAGTCAGTCAGTATGGGGGTCCCAGCAGGAGTAGTGTTTACCTGGCTCTATATCTGGGGTGCAGTCAGTCAGTATGGGGGTCCCAGCAGGAGTAGTGTTTACCTGGCTCTGTATCTGGGGTGCAGTCAGTCAGTATGGGGGTCCCAGCAGGAGTAGTGTTTACCTGGCTCTGTATCTGGGTGCAGTCAGTCAGTATGGGGGTCCCAGCAGGAGTAGTGTTTACCTGGCTCTGTATCTGGGTGCAGTCAGTCAGTATGGGGGTCCCAGCAGGAGTAGTGTTTACCTGGCTCTGTATCTGGGGGTAGTCAGTCAGTATGGGGGGTCCCAGCAGGAGTAGTGTTTACCTGGCTCTGTATCTGGGGTGCAGTCAGTCAGTATGGGGGTCCCAGCAGGAGTAGTGTTTACCTGGCTCTGTATCTGGGGTGCAGTCGGTCAGTATGGGGGTCCCAGCAGGAGTAGTGTTTACCTGGCTCTGTATCTGGGTGCAGTCAGTCAGTATGGGGGTCCCAGCACGAGTAGTGTTTACCTGGCTCTGTATCTGAGTGCAGTCAGTCAGTATGGGGGGGTCCCAGCAGGAGTAGTGTTTACCTGGCTCTGTATCTGGGTGCAGTCAGTCAGTATGGGGGGTGCCAGCAGGAGTAGTGTTTACCTGGCTCTGTATCTGGGGTGCAGCAGTATGGGGGTCCCAGCAGGAGTAGTGTTTACCTGGCTCTGTATCTGGGGTGCAGTCAGTCAGTATGGGGGTCCCAGCAGGAGTAGTGTTTACCTGGCTCTGTATCTGGGGTGCAGTCAGTCAGTATGGGGGTCCCAGCAGGAGTAGTGTTTACCTGGCTCTGTATCTGGGGTGCAGCAGTATGGGGGTCCCAGCAGGAGTAGTGTTTACCTGGCTCTGTATCTGGGGTGCGGTCAGTCAGTATGGGGGTCCCAGCAGGAGTAGTGTTTACCTGGCTCTGTATCTGGGGTGCAGTCAGTCAGTATTGGGGTCCCAGCAGGAGTAGTGTTTACCTGGATCTGTATCTGGGGTGCAGTCAGTCAGTATGGGGTCCCAGCTTGGGGCGGTGTTTACCTGGCTCTGTCTCTGGGGGTGCAGTCGGTCAGTATGGTGGGACCCAGCGGGAGTGATGTTTACCTGGCTCTGTATCGAGGTGCAGTCAGTCAGTATGGGGGGTCCCAGCAGGGTAGTGTTTACCTGGCTCTGTATCTGGGTGCAGTCGGTCAGTATGGGGGTCCCAGCAGGAGTAGTGTTTACCTGGTTCTGTATCTGGGGGTGCGATCAGTCAGTATGGGGGGGTCCCCGCTTGGGGTAGTGTTTACCTGGCTCTCTGTATCTGGGGGTGCAGTCAGTATGGGGGTCCCAGCAGGGGTAGTGTTTTACCTGGTTCTACTTGTATATCTGGGGTGCAGTCAGTCAGTATGGGGGTCCCAGCAGGAGTAGTGTTTACCTGGCTCTGTATCTGGGGTGCAGTCAGTCAGTATGGGGGTCCCAGCAGGAGTAGTGTTTACCTGGCTCTGTATCTGGGGTGCAGTCAGTCAGTATGGGGGTCCCAGCAGGAGTAGTGTTTACCTGGCTCTGTATCTGGGGTGCAGTCAATCAGTATGGGGGGTCCCAGTAGGAGTAGTGTTTACCTGGCTCTGTATCTGGGGTGCAGTCAGTCAGTATGGGGGGTCCCAGCAGGAGTAGTGTTTACCTGGCTCTGTATCTGGGGTGCAGTCAGTCAGTATGGGGTGTCCCAGCAGGAGTAGTGTTTACCTGGCTCTGTATCTGGGTGCAGTCAGTATGGGGGGTCCCAGCAGGAGTAGTGTTTACCTGGCTCTGTATCTGGGGTGCAGTCAGTCAGTATGGGGGTCCCAGCAGGAGTAGTGTTTACCTGGCTCTATATCTGGGGTGCAGTCAGTCAGTATGGGGGTCCCAGCAGGAGTAGTGTTTACCTGGCTCTGTATCTGGGGTGCAGTCAGTCAGTATGGGGGTCCCAGCAGGAGTAGTGTTTACCTGGCTCTGTATCTGGGTGCAGTCAGTCAGTATGGGGGTCCCAGCAGGAGTAGTGTTTACCTGGCTCTGTATCTGGGTGCAGTCAGTCAGTATGGGGGGTCCCAGCAGTAGTAGTGTTTACCTGGCTCTGTATCTGGGGTGTAGTCAGTCAGTATGGGGGGTCCCAGCAGGAGTAGTGTTTACCTGGCTCAGTATCTGGGGTGCAGTCAGTCAGTATGGGGGGATCCAGCAGGAGTAGTGTTTACCTGGCTCTGTCTTTGGGTGCAGTCAGTCAGTATGGGGGTCTCAGCAGGAGTAGTGTTTGCCTGGCTCTGTATCTGGGATGCAGTCAGTCAGTATGGTGGGTCCCAGCATGAGTAGTGTTTACCTGGTTCTGTATCTGGGTGCAGTCAGTCAGTATGGGGCGTCCCAGCAGGAGTAGTGTTTACCTGGCTCTGTATCTGGGTGCAGTCAGTCAGAATGGGGGGTCCCAGCAGGAGCAGTGTTTACCTGGCTCTGTATCTGGGGTGCAGTCAGTCAGTATGGGGGGTCCCAGCAGGAGTAGTGTTTACCTGGCTCTGTATCTGGGTGCAGTCAGTATGGGGGTCCCAGTAGGAGTAGTGTTTACCTGGCTCTGTATCTGGGGTGCAGTCAGTCAGTATGGGGGTCCCCTTGGGAGTAGTGTTTACCTGTGGCTCTGTATCACAGGGTGCAGTCAGTCAGTATGGGGGTCCCAGCAGGAGTAGTGTTTACCTGGCTCTGTAGGTGGGGTGCAGCAGTATGGGGGTCCCAGCAGGAGTAGTGTTTACCTGGCTCTGTATCTGGGGTGCAGTCAGTCAGTATGGGGGTCCCAGCAGGAGTAGTGTTTACCTGGCTCTGTATCTGGGGTGCAGTCGGTCAGTATGGGGGTCCCAGCAGGAGTAGTGTTTACCTGGCTCTGTATCTGAGTGCAGTCAGTCAGTATGGGGGGTCCCAGCAGGAGTAGTGTTTACCTGGCTCTGTATCTGGGTGCAGTCAGTCAGTATGGGGGGTCCCAGCAGGAGTAGTGTTTACCTGGCTCTGTATCTGGGGTGCAGTCAGTCAGTATGGGGGTCCCAGCAGGAGTAGTGTTTACCTGGCTCTGTATCTGGGTGCAGTCAGTTAGTATGGGGGGTCCCAGCAGGAGTAGTGTTTACCTGGCTCTGTATCTGGGGTGCAGTCAGTCAGTATGGGGGTCCCAGCAGGAGTAGTGTTTACCTGGCTCTGTATCTGGGTGTAGTCAGTCAGTATGGGGGGTCCCAGCAGGAGTAGTGTTTACCTGGCTCAGTATCTGGGGTGCAGTCAGTCAGTATGGGGGGACCCAGCAGGAGTAGTGTTTACCTGGCTCTGTCTCTAGGTGCAGTCAGTCAGTATGGGGGTCTCAGCAGGAGTAGTGTTTGCCTGGCTCTGTATCTGGGATGCAGTCAGTCAGTATGGTGGGTCCCAGCATGAGTAGTGTTTACCTGGTTCTGTATCTGGGTGCAGTCAGTCAGTATGGGGCGTCCCAGCAGGAGTAGTGTTTACCTGGCTCTGTATCTGGGTGCAGTCAGTCAGTATGGGGGGTCCCAGCAGGAGTAGTGTTTACCTGGCTCTGTATCTGGGGTGCAGTCAGTCGGTAGGGGGGTCCCAGCAGGAGTAGTGTTTACCTGGCTCTGTATCTGGGTGCAGTCAGTCAGTATGGGGGGTCCCAGGAGTGAGTGTTTACCTGGCTCTGTATCTGAGGGTGCAGTCCGGTCAGTATGGGGGTCCCAACTTGGGAGTAGTGTTTACCTGGCTCTGTATCTGGGGTGCAGTCAGTCGGTATGGGGTCCCAGCAGGAGTAGTGTTTACCTGGCTCTGTATCTGCTGGGTGCAGTCAGTCAGTATGGGGTCCCAGCAGGAGTAGTGTTTACCTGGCTCTGTGTCTGGGGTGCAGTGATCAGTCAGTATGGGGTTCCAGCAGGAGTAGTGTTTACCTGGCTCTGTATCTGGGTGCAGTCAGTCAGTATGGGGTCCCAGCAGGGTAGTGTTTACCTGGCTCTGTCTGGGGGTGCAGTCAGTCCAGTATGGGGTCCCAGCAGGAGTGGTGTTTACCTGGCTCTGTATCTGATTGCAGTCAGTCAGTATGGGGGTCCCAGCTGTAGTAGTGTTTACCTGGCTCTGTATCTGGGGTGCAGTCAGTCAGTATGGGGGTCCCAGCAGGAGTAGTGTTTACCTGGCTCTGTATCTGGGTGCAGTTAGTATGGGGGACCCAGCAGGAGTAGTGTTTACCTGGCTCTGTATCTGGGTGCAGTTAGTCAGTATGGGGGGTCCCAGCAGGAGTAGTGTTTACCTGGCTCTGTATCTGGGGTGCAGTCAGTCAGTATGGGGGTCTCAGCAGGAGTAGTGTTTACCTGGCTCTGTCTCTGGGGTGCAGTAAGTATGGGGGTCCCAGCAGGAGTAATGTTTACCTAGCTCTGTATCTGGGGTGCAGTAAGTATGGGGGTACCAGCAGGAGTAGTGTTTACCTGGCTCTGTATCTGGGTGCAGTCAGTCAGTATGGGGGGTCCCAGCCCAGCAGGAGTAGTGTTTACCTGGCTCTGTATCTGGGGTGCAGTCAGTCGGTAGGGGGGTCCCAGCAGGAGTAGTGTTTACCTGGCTCTGTATCTGGGTGCAGTCAGTCAGTATGGGGGGTCCCAGCAGGAGTAGTGTTTACCTGGCTCTGTATCTGGGTGCAGTCAGTCAGTATGGGGGGTCCCAGCAGGAGTAGTGTTTACCTGGCTCTGTATCTGGGGTGCAGCTGGGTCAGTATGGGGGTCCCAGCAGGAGTAAGTGTTTACCTGGCTCTGCATTCAGTGCAGTCAGTCAGTATGGGGGGTCCCAGCAGGAGTAGTGCTTGGCATCTGGCTCTGTATCTGGGTGCAGTCAGTCAGTATGGGGGTCCTGCAGGAGTAGTGCTCACCTGGCTCTGTATCTGGGTGCAGCCAGTCAGTATGTAGTCCCAGCAGTGGTGCGGTAGTGTTTCTACCTGGCTCTGCATCTGCGCAGCCAGTCAGTATGGGGTGGGGTCCCAGCAGGAGAAAGTGTTTACCCGGCCTCTGTATCTGGGTGCAGTCAGTCAGTATGGGGGTCCCAGCAGGAGTAGTGTTTACCTGGCTCTGTATCTGGGGTGCAGTCAATCAGTATGGGGGGTCCCAGTAGGAGTAGTGTTTACCTGTCTGCATCTGGTGCAGCTCGTCAGTATGGGGGTCCCAGCAGAGTAGTGTTTACCTGGCTCTGTGTCTGGGGTGCAGCTCAAGTCAGTGGCGGGGTCCCAGCAGGGGAGTAGTGTTTACCTGGCTCTGTATCTGGGGTGCAGTCAGTCAGTATGGGGGTCCCAGCAGGAGTAGTGTTTACCTGGCTCTGTATCTGGGGGTAGTCAGTCAGTATGGGGGGTCCCAGCAGGAGTAGTGTTTACCTGGCTCAGTATCTGGGGTGCAGTCAGTCAGTATGGGGGGACCCAGCAGGAGTAGTGTTTACCTGGCTCTGTCTCTGGGTGCAGTCAGTCAGTATGGGGGTCTCAGCAGGAGTAGTGTTTGCCTGGCTCTGTATCTGGGATGCAGTCAGTCAGTATGGTGGGTCCCAGCATGAGTAGTGTTTACCTGGTTCTGTATCTGGGTGCAGTCAGTCAGTATGGGGCGTCCCAGCAGGAGTAGTGTTTACCTGGCTCTGTATCTGGGTGCAGTCAGTCAGTATGGGGGTCCCAGCAGGAGTAGTGTTTACCTGGCTCTGTATCTGGGGTGCAGTCAGTCAGTATGGGGGTCCCAGCAGGAGTAGTGTTTACCTGGCTCTGTATCTGGGTGCAGTCAGTCAGTATGGGGGTCCCAGCAGGAGTAGTGTTTACCTGGCTCTGTATCTGGGTGCAGTCAGTCAGTATGGGGGGTCCCAGCAGTAGTAGTGTTTACCTGGCTCTGTATCTGGGGTGTAGTCAGTCAGTATGGGGGGTCCCAGCAGGAGTAGTGTTTACCTGGCTCAGTATCTGGGGTGCAGTCAGTCAGTATGGGGGGATCCAGCAGGAGTAGTGTTTACCTGGCTCTGTCTTTGGGTGCAGTCAGTCAGTATGGGGGTCTCAGCAGGAGTAGTGTTTGCCTGGCTCTGTATCTGGGATGCAGTCAGTCAGTATGGTGGGTCCCAGCATGAGTAGTGTTTACCTGGTTCTGTATCTGGGTGCAGTCAGTCAGTATGGGGCGTCCCAGCAGGAGTAGTGTTTACCTGGCTCTGTATCTGGGTGCAGTCAGTCAGTATGGGGGGTCCCAGCAGGAGTAGTGTTTACCTGGCTCTGTATCTGGGGTGCAGTCAGTCAGTATGGGGGTCCCAGCAGGAGTAGTGTTTACCTGGCTCTGTATCTGGGGTGCAGTCGGTCAGTATGGGGGTCCCAGCAGGAGTAGTGTTTACCTGGCTCTGTATCTGGGTGCAGTCAGTCAGTATGGGGGTCCCAGCACGAGTAGTGTTTACCTGGCTCTGTATCTGAGTGCAGTCCAGTGGTGTTGCTCTGGGGTCCCAGGGGTAGTGTTTACCTGGCTCTGTACATCTCTGGGGGTCCAGTCTAATTATGGGGGTACCAGCAGGGAGTAGTGTTTACCTGGCCATGTCTGGGGGTTGCAGTCGGTCAGTATGGGGGTCCCAGCAGGAGTAGTGTTTACCTGGCTCTGTATCTGGGGTGCAGTCAGTCAGTATGGGGGTCCCAGCAGGAGTAGTGTTTACCTGGCTCTGTATCTGGGTGCAGTCAGTCAGTATGGGGGTCCCAGCACGAGTAGTGTTTACCTGGCTCTGTATCTGAGTGCAGTCAGTCAGTATGGGGGGGTCCCAGCAGGAGTAGTGTTTACCTGGCTCTGTATCTGGGTGCAGTCAGTCAGTATGGGGGGTTCCAGCAGGAGTAGTGCTTACCTGGCTCTGTATCTGGGGTGCAGTCAGTCAGTATGGGGGGTCCCAGCAGGAGTAGTGTTTACCTGGCTCTGTATCTGGGGTGCAGTCAGTCAGTATGGGGGTCCCAGCAGGAGTAATGTTTACCTGGCTCTGTATCTGGGTGCAGTCAGTCAGTATGGGGGTCCCAGCAGGAGTAGTGTTTACCTGGCTCTGTATCTGGGGTGCAGCAGTATGGGGGTCCCAGCAGGAGTAGTGTTTACCTGGCTCTGTATCTGGGGTGCGGTCAGTCAGTATGGGGGTCCCAGCAGGAGTAGTGTTTACCTGGCTCTGTATCTGGGGTGCAGTCAGTCAGTATTGGGGTCCCAGCAGGAGTAGTGTTTACCTGGATCTGTATCTGGGGTGCAGTCAGTCAGTATGGGGGTCCCAGCAGGAGTAGTGTTTACCTGGCTCTGTATCTGGGGTGCAGTCAGTCAGTATGGGGGTCCCAGCAGGAGTTGTGTTTACCTGGCTCTGTATCTGGGGTGCAGTCAGTATGGGGGTCCCAGCAGGAGTAGTGTTTACCTGGCTCTGTATCTGGGGTGCAGCTCGGGGTCAGTATGGGGGGTCCCAGCAGTAGGTAGTGTGGTTACCTGGCTCTGTATCTGGGTGCAGTCAGTCAGCATGGGGTCCCAGCAGTAGTGTGGGGTTTACCTGGCCTTGCATCTGGGGTGCAGTCAGTCGCGGGGAACCCAGCAGGAGTAGTAGCTCTACCTGGCTCTGTATCTGGGTGCAGCAGGCATGGGGGTCCCAGCAGGGAGTAGTGCTTACCTGGCTCTGTAATCTGGGCAGCCTGGGTCAGTATGGGGGGTCCCAGCAGGAGTGTGCGCTTACCTGGCTCTGTATCCGCAGTCAGTATGGGGGGTCCCAGCAGGAGTAGTGTTTACCTGGCTCTGTATCTGGGGTGCAGTCAGTCAGTATGGGGGTCCCAGCAGGAGTAGTGTTTACCTGGCTCTGTATCTGGGGTGCAGTCTGTCAGTATGGGGGTCCCAGCAGGAGTAGTGTTTACCTGGCTCTGTATCTGGGTGCAGTCAGTATGGTGGGTCCCAGCAGGAGCAGTGTTTACCTGGCTCTGTATCTGGGGTGCAGTCAGTCAGTATGGGGGTCCCAGCAGGAGTAGTGTTTACCTGGCTCTGTATCTGGGGTGCAGTCAGTCAGTATGGGGGTCCCAGCAGGAGTAGTGTTTACCTGGCTCTGTATCTGGGTGCAGTCAGTCAGTATGGGGGTCCCAGCACGAGTAGTGTTTACCTGGCTCTGTATCTGAGTGCAGTCAGTCAGTATGGGGGGGTCCCAGCAGGAGTAGTGTTTACCTGGCTCTGTATCTGGGTGCAGTCAGTCAGTATGGGGGGTTCCAGCAGGAGTAGTGCTTACCTGGCTCTGTATCTGGGGTGCAGTCAGTCAGTATGGGGGGTCCCAGCAGGAGTAGTGTTTACCTGGCTCTGTATCTGGGGTGCAGTCAGTCAGTATGGGGGTCCCAGCAGGAGTAATGTTTACCTGGCTCTGTATCTGGGTGCAGTCAGTCAGTATGGGGGTCCCAGCAGGAGTAGTGTTTACCTGGCTCTGTATCTGGGGTGCAGCAGTATGGGGGTCCCAGCAGGAGTAGTGTTTACCTGGCTCTGTATCTGGGGTGCGGTCAGTCAGTATGGGGGTCCCAGCAGGAGTAGTGTTTACCTGGCTCTGTATCTGGGGTGCAGTCAGTCAGTATTGGGGTCCCAGCAGGAGTAGTGTTTACCTGGATCTGTATCTGGGGTGCAGTCAGTCAGTATGGGGGTCCCAGCAGGAGTAGTGTTTACCTGGCTCTGTATCTGGGGTGCAGTCAGTCAGTATGGGGGTCCCAGCAGGAGTTGTGTTTACCTGGCTCTGTATCTGGGGGTGCAGACAGTCAGTATGGGGGGTCCCAGCAGGAGTAGTGTTTACCTGGCTCTGTATCTGGGTGCAGTCAGTCAGTATGGGGGTCCCAGCAGGAGTAGTGTTTACAGGGCTCTGTATCTGGGTGCAGTCAGTCAGTATGGGGGGTCCCAGCAGGAGTAGTGTTTACCTGGCTCAGTATCTGGGTGCAGTCAGTCAGTATGGGGGTCCCAGCAGGAGTAGTGTTTACCTGGCTCTGTATCTGGGGTGCAGTCAGTCAGTATGGGGGTCCCAGCAGGAGTAGTGTTTACCTGGCTCTGTATCTGGGGTGCAGTCAGTCAGTATGGGGTGTCCCAGCAGGAGTAGTGTTTACCTGGCTCTGTATCTGGGTGCAGTCAGTATGGGGGGTCCCAGCAGGAGTAGTGTTTACCTGGCTCTGTATCTGGGGTGCAGTCTGTCAGTATGGGGGTCCCAGCAGGAGTAGTGTTTACCTGGCTCTGTATCTGGGTGCAGTCAGTATGGTGGGTCCCAGCAGGAGCAGTGTTTACCTGGCTCTGTATCTGGGGTGCAGTCAGTCAGTATGGGGGTCCCAGCAGGAGTAGTGTTTACCTGGCTCTGTATCTGGGTGTAGTCAGTCAGTATGGGGGGTCCCAGCAGGAGTAGTGTTTACCTGGCTCAGTATCTGGGGTGCAGTCAGTCAGTATGGGGGGACCCAGCAGGAGTAGTGTTTACCTGGCTCTGTCTTTGGGTGCAGTCAGTCAGTATGGGGGTCTCAGCAGGAGTAGTGTTTGCCTGGCTCTGTATCTGGGATGCAGTCAGTCAGTATGGTGGGTCCCAGCATGAGTAGTGTTTACCTGGTTCTGTATCTGGGTGCAGTCAGTCAGTATGGGGCGTCCCAGCAGGAGTAGTGTTTACCTGGCTCTGTATCTGGGTGCAGTCAGTCAGTATGGGGGGTCCCAGCAGGAGTAGTGTTTACCTGGCTCTGTATCTGGGGTGCAGTCAGTCAGTATGGGGGTGCCAGCAGGAGTAGTGTTTACCTGGCTCTGTATCTGGGTGCAGTCAGTCAGTATGGGGGTCCCAGCAGGAGTAGTGTTTACCTGGCTCTGTATCTGGGTGCAGTCAGTCAGTATGGGGGTCCCAGCAGGAATAGTGTTTACCTGGCTCTGTATCTGGGGTGCAGTCAGTCAGTATGGGGGTCCCAGCAGGAGTAGTGTTTACCTGGCTCTGTATCTGGGGTGCAGTCAGTCAGTATGGGGGTCCCAGCAGGAGTAGTGTTTACCTGGCTCTGTATCTGGGGTGCAGTCAGTCAGTATGGGGGTTCCAGCAGGAGTAGTGTTTACCTGGCTCTGTATCTGGGTGCAGTCAGTCAGTATGGGGGTCCCAGCAGGAGTAGTGTTTACCTGGCTCTGTCTCTGGGGTGCAGTCAATCAGTATGGGGGGTCCCAGCAGGAGTAGTGTTTACCTGGCTCTGTATCTGGGGTGCAGTCAGTCAGTATGGGGGGTCCCAGCAGGAGTAGTGTTTACCTGGCTCTGTATCTAGGTGCAGTCAGTCAGTATGGGGGTCCCAGCAGGAGTAGTGTTTACCTGGCTCTGTATCTAGGTGCAGTCAGTCAGTATGGGGGTCCCAGCAGGAGTAGTGTTTACCTGGCTCTGTATCTGGGGTGCAGTCAGTCAGTATGGGGGTCCCAGCAGGAGTAGTGTTTACCTGGCTCTGTATCTGGGTGCAGTCAGTCAGTATGGGGGTCCCAGCAGGAGTAGTGTTTACCTGGCTCTGTATCTGGGGTGCAGTCAGTCAGTATGGGGGTCCCAGCAGGAGTAGTGTTTACCTGGCTCTGTATCTGGGCGCAGCTGTCAGTATGGGGTCCCAGCAGGAGTAGTGCTTTACCTGGCTCTGTATCTGGGGTGTAAAACTGTCAGTATGGGGTCCCAGCAGGAGCAGTGTTTCACTGGCTCTCATCTGGGGTGCAGCCGTCAGTATAAACCCAGCAGAGTAGTGTTTACCTGCTGGCTCTGTATCTGGGCAAGTGTAGTCAGTCAGTATGGGGTCCCAGGAGTGGGCCACCACGCCAGTATCTGGGGTGCAGTCAGTCAGTATGGGGGGACCCAGCAGGAGTAGTGTTTACCTGGCTCTGTCTCTAGGTGCAGTCAGTCAGTATGGGGGTCTCAGCAGGAGTAGTGTTTGCCTGGCTCTGTATCTGGGATGCAGTCAGTCAGTATGGTGGGTCCCAGCATGAGTAGTGTTTACCTGGTTCTGTATCTGGGTGCAGTCAGTCAGTATGGGGCGTCCCAGCAGGAGTAGTGTTTACCTGGCTCTGTATCTGGGTGCAGTCAGTCAGTATGGGGGGTCCCAGCAGGAGTAGTGTTTACCTGGCTCTGTATCTGGGGTGCAGTCAGTCAGTATGGGGGTCCCAGCAGGAGTAGTGTTTACCTGGCTCTGTATCTGGGTGCAGTCAGTCAGTATGGGGGTCCCAGCAGGAGTAGTGTTTACCTGGTTCTGTATCTGGGTGCAGTCAGTCAGTATGGGGGGTCCCAGCAGGAGTAGTGTTTACCTGGCTCTGTATCTGGGGTGCAGTCAGTCAGTATGGGGGTCCCAGCAGGAGTAGTGTTTACCTGGCTCTATATCTGGGGTGCAGTCAGTCAGTATGGGGGTCCCAGCAGGAGTAGTGTTTACCTGGCTCTGTATCTGGGGTGCAGTCAGTCAGTATGGGGGTCCCAGCAGGAGTAGTGTTTACCTGGCTCTGTATCTGGGTGCAGTCAGTCAGTATGGGGGGTCCCAGCAGGAGTAGTGTTTACCTGGCTCTGTATCTGGGTGCAGTCAGTCAGTATGGGGGGTCCCAGCAGGAGTAGTGTTTACCTGGCTCTGTATCTGGGGTGCAGTCAGTCAGTATGGGGGTCTCAGCAGGAGTAGTGTTTACCTGGCTCTGTACCTGGGGTGCAGTCAGTCAGTATGGGGGTCCCAGCAGGAGTAGTGTTTACCTGGCTCTGTATCTGGGGTGCAGTCAGTCAGTATGGGGGTCCCAGCAGGAGTAGTGTTTACCTGGCTCTGTATCTGGGATGCAGTCGGTCAGTATGGGGGTCCCAGCAGGAGTAGTGTTTACCTGGCTCTGTATCTGGGTGCAGTCAGTCAGTATGGGGGTCCCAGCAGGAGTAGTGTTTACCTGGTTCTGTATCTGGGTGCAGTCAGTCAGTATGGGGGGTCCCAGCAGGAGTAGTGTTTACCTGGCTCTGTATCTGGGGTGCAGTCAGTCAGTATGGGGGTGCCAGCAGGAGTAGTGTTTACCTGGCTCTGTATCTGGGTGCAGTCAGTCAGTATGGGGGTCCCAGCAGGAGTAGTGTTTACCTGGCTCTGTCTCTGGGGTGCAGTCAGTCAGTATGGGGGTCCCAGCAGGAGTAGTGTTTACCTGGCTCTGTATCTAGGTGCAGTCAGTCAGTATGGGGGTCCCAGCAGGAGTAGTGTTTACCTGGCTCTGTATCTGGGTGCAGTCAGTCAGTATGGGGGGTCCCAGCAGGAGTAGTGTTTACCTGGCTCTGTATCTGGGGTGCAGTCAGTCAGTATGGGGGTCCCAGCAGGAGTAGTGTTTACCTGGCTCTGTATCTGGGTGCAGTCAGTCAGTATGTGGGTCACAGCAGGAGTAGTGTTTACCTGGCTCTGTATCTGGGGTGCAGTCAGTATGGGGGTCCCAGCAGGAGTAGTGTTTACCTGGCTCTGTATCTGGGTGGAGTCCGGCAGTATGGGGGTCCAGCAGGAGTAGTGTTTACCTGGCTCTGTATCACAGGTGCAGTCAGTCAGTATGGGGGGGATTGCTTAGGGTAGTGTTTGCCTGGCTCTGTATCACAGGGTGCAGTCAGTCAGTATGGGGGTCCCAGCAGGGTGTGTTTACCTGGCTCTGTATCTGGGGTGCAGTCAGTCAGTATGGGGGTTCCAGCAGGAGTAGTGTTTACCTGGCTCTGTATCTGGGTGCAGTCAGTCAGTATGGGGGTCCCAGCAGGAGTAGTGTTTACCTGGCTCTGTATCTGGGTGCAGTCAGTTAGTATGGGGGGGTCCCAGCAGGAGTAGTGTTTACCTGGCTCTGTATCTGGGGTGCAGTCAGTCAGTATGGGGGTCCCAGCAGGAGTAGTGTTTACCTGGCTCTGTATCTGGGGTGCAGTCGGTCAGTATGGGGGTCCCAGCAGGAGTAGTGTTTACCTGGCTCTGTATCTGGGTGCAGTCAGTATGGGGGTCCCAGCAGTAGTAGTGTTTACCTGGCTCTGTATCTGGGTGCAGTCAGTCAGTATGGGGGTCCCAGCAGGAGTAGTGTTTACCTGGCTCTGTATCTGGGTGCAGTCAGTTAGTATGGGGGGGTCCCAGCAGGAGTAGTGTTTACCTGGCTCTGTATCTGGGGTGCAGTCAGTCAGTATGGGGGTCCCAGCAGGAGTAGTGTTTACCTGGCTCTGTATCTGGGGTGCAGTCAGTCAGTATGGGGGTCCCAGCAGGAGTAGTGTTGACCTGGCTCTGTATCTGGGGTGCAGTCAGTATGGGGGTCCCAGCAGGAGTAGTGTTTACCTGGCTCTGTATCTGGGGTGCAGTCAGTATGGGGGTCCCAGCAGGAGTAGTGTTTACCTGGCTCTGTCTCTGGGTGCAGATGGGGCTCGCGCTGCTCTCTGACAGCCGTTGCTATGGCGCCTCACTAGGCCACTGTTGCCGAAGTGACGCCTCTTCCTCCCCGCTCGTTGCTATGGTTCCCAGGCCCCGCCCCCAGCCCAGCGCTGTTTACAATACACACACGATCTCTGTGGAGACGCTGAGACCGGAAACGCGCGCACCCTGAGCGTCATAACACGTCACACGCACAACGTGCCGGCCGCCATGTTTGATGTGGGCAGCTGCCCTCACTGTGATAAACTTTATATAATCCATTCAATTAAAATCTAATAATAATATCCTCCGGGATATCGCCATTTATAACGTAAAGTTCATACAATCCATTCCAGCCGTAAAGAGAGTTAATATACGGTCTCAAAGGCAACGTAACCAATCTGGCGAATTTCAAATGTAACGTGCTATATCTGACCCTGTAACTTCCCAAAACGCCATAAAACCTGTATATAGGGGGTACTGTGTTACACGTGAGACATCGCTGAATACAAATATGTCTATTTTATTGCAGTAAAAGCAAACAGTATTACAGTTAAAATGTCATGTAGAACTAATAAGATAAAAAAAAAATCTTATTTTCTCCCATTTTTTTCATATTAAATTATGTTTCATAGCTAAAAATTTGATATTAAATGAAAGCCCTGTTTCCCCTGAATAAAATGATATATAATAAGGTTGGGTGCATTTACTATGAAAGAGGTGTATTACGGTTGGACAGACATGTAGCGCAAATGCCAGGTTTTGTTTACGTTTTGTTTTGATCACAACGTGTACATTTCGCTTCGTCCTTAAGGGGTTAATAATAATGAAATGTCTTCATTGGGGTTATATCTATATTTAATATTATTAACGTAGGTACTATTTCTATATGATTAAACATAATTATAGTTAGTATATATGGGTGGGTGTGTGTGTGTGTCTGGGCTGGGCTTTTTCATCCCCCCTTTGTTGCAAACACATTTAGGTTTCTTGTAAGAAGAAACCTTATCTCTAATCATTGCTTAGTTGATGAGCCTAAAAATCACAAAACAGAAAAGGCAGGCTTCTATGGTGAAGTGTGTTTATTTAAAAAATACATCACAAAACACAAATACATAAAAAGTAAGTAAAAAAATACAAAGAAAAACTATGAGAAATATAAAAACTGCAAATACTTTATTAAAGACAAAATTCTCCCGTATAGTACAAACCCAGCCCTCCCCTTGTAGTCTACTTGCAGGATAGCGTGTGCCTGGCACGGGGGGTCTGTGTGCCAATACGTAGAACACTGGA